CGGCACTTGGCGCAGGTTCCTGGTGTTGCATCTTTATTTAAAAAAGTGCATGTTGGTGGACCTGTCGTCTCGTCGCAATTCCTCTCCTGCATCCAATGAAGGGCCTGCGTTGGCACATTCTTGATGTCTGACGCGTGGGATTCTTGGGGGGATAAATGTTTAAATGAGTATTGCCCAAATACAGCACTGTATCCATAGCACACAGCGTTTTTTCTCCCTTGATGCGAAAATGGCGTCTTTTCTTGAGCCCTCGCGGAAACTTTAGAGTTGCAGAACTGCTACTGATCCCCTGGACTCAGACAGCTCGGCGCCAAGAGAGACAGACCCCCCGCCCGCCCCGCCCGCCCGATAAGCGGAGACGCCTATATTAAGGGCCGTAGATTGTCTCATCGACTTCGTTTCAGTGCGCCTAGTGTATCAAAGGCTTGAAGATAACTTTTTGAAGATATACGGCGACATACCATGACCTGGAGTGGTCCTGATAAAGTTCCCTAGTAATTCGGGTAATGAAGCACTAAGAAAAAGAAACTCTGGGGCAACCGAAAGAAGACTTCGGCAAAATCCGATTAGTTGGTTGCGGCTTGCTTTCCTTGTGGCTTGGATCTTCGACAACTCACGCTGATCATTGACCAGGCCGCCCAATCTCAACGGATTACAGCTCCGATGCAATGCTTTTCTGTCCATCTTATTCAAACAGTTGGTATAATTAGATGACTTGCCCCCTTTTAATTTACGGTCTCAAGGATTTTTTTTTTCCTTCTCTTCCATGCCGCGCCTTGGAGGCCTACCTATGGTACGGGGAGGAGGGGGCAAAAACTGATGTTGTCACTGGTTCTTAGGCCTTGGTACCTGGTACCTTGGTAAGAGGACATGATGTAGCTTATTATTTGGGGTAACGGTAAGTACCACCGCAATTTTTTGGTCCCTTGTATGCATGTTAATATTGCACTCCCCCATCCTCGCCGCGCGCTGATATGATATTCGCCTCATTAAAACACGCCTTATCAACCAGCCGATAGCGGCGGAATGTCTATGTTGTACCTGTTTTGAAGATATAGACAGGACGGACCTTTTGTTGTTACATACCAATCAATCCTCCCGTGTCCGACTCTACTCTACGAGTGCGAGTTGACTTTTTTTCTATCCATCTAGAACGTGGGACACATATGTACGTGGGTAGATCAAACTCGTGGCGGGCAAGCCAATCTAATCCTAATCGCGTCCGACTCCTACATTCTCCAATATCACGATCCAAAGGTGTCTCAGTTCATCACCCCCTAGCCCTCCAATGCAGCCACAACGCGTTATCACACTCTCCACCGACCAGACGGTGGCTACTGTTCCGCAAAGCTCCCCCCCACTCACTCAAGGGGAATTTCTCGAAAACTGTCCGACCGAGACATCTTTCGTGGGATCAAGATGAGGTGGGTAATTGATCCGCGATAAAAGATCCGGGCGCGATAACTGTCAGCTTTAAGAAGTTGGTACCGAGTAGGTTCTGCGAATTACATAGGAAAGAGAACACACAAAGCTAGGACCGGCTGAACCCGTTACATGGAAAAGAAAGATGACGCAAACAAATAACACCTCTTGATACAGGGGAAGCTTAGAGTAGAAAGTTAGTGCACCGCATGCACGTCGAAACAACCGCATGTGTCGCTGGACATGGAAACGGATGTTTCTGCTTGTTTGCCTCAAGACAGAATCCTAGGTCGATTTTAAATCTCTGGTATTTGCCCCTGATTTAGCCCATGATCAGGCCAGGTGCCTCCAAACCTCGAGGTCCTTGCCTCGAGGGAGTAGAATACAGGAGGAAAGGGGTCTGAAGTGCTTGCTATTGACAGCTATTGACATCTAAAGTACTAGGAGGTAAAAATCTCTATAAAAGAGAATCTCATCTCCTTACTCGGGCGAACCTGTAAATTGCGCAAACCTAAACCCCAAAGCGGGCATGTTTTATCACCTTGCGCTGTTCAATCAATTGGCGTTACAGCAACGTTTACCATGGCCAGCCGAAAGACCGGCACAAAAAAGAAACCGGGGAGCTTCGGAAAAATATGAAGCGAAAGGCAAATGGCGGAAGAACCTACCGCGATCTTGTAGTGGTCATATTCATTCAATCACCAGCCCCCCGGGTTTTCGAGATAGGGTCGAAATCCATATATAGTACCAGCCGGTGCGAAGCCGCCACGCATACACATGGTTGGAATACTAAGACCTCCGATTAAATTGGCCTTTCTGGAGCCTCGAGTAATATCGATCCTATGAATAGGAACCAGATAATGGATGATTATTCCCTGGATACTGACGGCCTTGAGGTTTCTCAAGAAATCCTTTATGCCATCTTAAAGACAACTTGCCTTCCCTGTCTTGAATAGACCAAAAATATAGACGTTTAAGATCCCTTCGTATCCTACATCGTGTAAACTACGATACTATCCATAATCAGGAACCCCTAAATTCTAGTCCGTCATAGTGCGGAATCACATTTTATCACTCGTTAAAAAGGCCCAGTCATGTTTTAAGTCACGCTCGGCATGAACCATAAAACAGTACCTGCCGTCTATCTTGCCAGCTGGCCCAGCTGATCCAGCTGGACTGAGTCAACTCAAGTGCAGTCGGGCCAGCCCGGGTTTTAATTTATGATTTATGATGACAGTCCACCAAATGAAATATTACTCCAACTAGATTCTACTTCATAAAGCTTTCCCATTGGGATGATAGGAGGTACTTACAATGTGATCTGAATATTTTTTGATTTAAGTTGGCGAAGTCATCACTTTCTTTTTTGTTGTTCCAGGTGGTGTTCTTGAGACATCGCAAGTTTCTGGAAGATCTCGGCGACCTCTAATTCGTTTTTGATCTCCTGTCCCCGAACAACACTCTTAGTCTGGACTTGTCCGAATCTTTCAATGGTCCGTACTAGACCGCAAAACTCCAACCTGGACGGTTTGGCTTTGGACTGGACTGGACTGGACTAGAATGGATCTGGCCGTAATCTCTACACCATTGACTCTTGAGACTTTTAACACTAGGACGTGTGTGGTGTTGATATATATGTAGTAGTAGCCCCAAGGCGCATTTTTGAATCAAATTAACCAAAAGAAATCATTTCTCTCATTCCAATGTTCTCGACACTTAAAGAGAACTATTCACCATATTAGTTCCCTGAAGACTTTACACGTGTGTTTTATCTGGCTATCTGGTTCTGTGACAACATGTAGCTGGGTATACTTTCTTTTGGGGGGAAGAGAGAGTGAGAGCCGCGTTATCATAGCTTTCAAGCTTGTTTTAATATGATAAAGAACTCTCAGCCCTATACTCGCGAGTACAGTAGAAAACAAAGTTCTTCGTCTCAAGACGAAGTACAGCCACTCTGCAAAAGTGTTCGTGATTCCGATTTGGGAGTGAGACATTTCTTCATATGTAACCGTGGCGGGCCATCAAAACCCCCAAGAGAAAACTCCCCCAGTGACCAATGGCTCCCGGAATCAATGAAGAGTATTTTAAGGACTTACCTTCTTTTATATATACTCACGAACTATATTATATATTCTCCGCTGTTTTGAACCTCAACACTAATAACATCAAATTCACGGGTGCGCCACACTGCGCACTGACATTAAAACTGAATCACGAACACTTTTGCAGAGTGGCTGTACATGCATTCGTTTCCTTGGATACTGCCACTTCAGAAATTATCTGATCCTGATGAGTACGTACTACACGTTCCCAGCGCTTTACTATAAATGGAAAACTTGCGTTAAATTCAAAAAAAGTATAGCCTAAGCTTAACCTGGAGCGCGGAGATAGCGGCAAGTTGTAGGGGATTGTAATTGCTAAGAGTTAACTGGATAGACATATATAGCTTAGACTACCTATTCTGTATTTCTGCGCTATATCTTTTTCGATTGACCTCAGGCTCTTTCTTCGAATTGACAACCTACTAGTAGTATTTGCCGGGAGAATGTGTTTAATTATATACTATCACTCGTGCCAAGACCAAACTTACAACGTCGACGTTAGTGAATATAACAGAGGGACGTACAGTCCAGAGATTTCTGTAGTTTTCCCTCTTACCATGTTGAATATCTGTCATCGCTGGCTTTCAATGCGCAAAGATTATGTATCCCCAAGCCCAGCTTGTCTTGGAAGTTAAGTGGACCATATACGCATCTCTCTCTCTCTTTCACTATGCTGCATTCCCGCATCTCCCCGTAGAAAGCCAAAGGTGTTGAAAACCTATACATAAGGCTTACGAGTATCCTTATTAGGGGTATTTATCCCCTCTGAGATCTCTCGACAGTCTCAGACTACACGATTTTGAGCCTCTACTATTTGGCTATCGCCCTGCCTGGTGTGAATATGCACTCTATTGCATCAGGAAATTCTACCACCTGCCGGGTATTCTACACCTTTACCCACCACACCCTTCTCCTTCCCTCATCCATCAAAAACATTACTATCATTCTGCACTCTCATCATGTAGTACCGCACCACGATGTTGTTGGTATTGAGAACCAACTAAGCTAGCTCCCCTGTGCTACAGTTGGTGGAGATATAGTTGCAGCTATTGATGTATAGACATTTGTACTTGTATCGTCGTTAATTAGAATGATATATCTACTAGATCGAACGGAATACATCTGAAAGGGCTGGAGAAAAGTGTAAGGAGTGGACGCTGCGATTGTGCATCAAGGTATCAACTCCTAAAATCAGCGAGTGATATCCCATGAACCTCATCATTACAAATCAAACCATTTCGTCCCACATAAACAAACATTCCCATGCATTCCCCCCTAAGTCAAGCTCTAACTTAGTAACCAAATGTACTTGCTCAATAAATCAAACAAAACCAGAAAACCAAAAGACAGAAAGAAAGAGAAGACTTTTGGATATTATAACTCCCGGCCATCTACCTAACGCTAACTACTCTACATAAACCAACAAATTTAAAACAAAAAAAAGCACCCAAAACGCCTTTCCCCACCCTCCCCTCACTACCAACCCCCGCCCGCCTTCATCGCCAGCTCCGCCGCCCTCGCCACCACATCCACCTCCTGCGTCTTCCCAAGATCATTCTCCACCTGCCTATACCCCGTAAACATCAATTTCTCCTTCTCAATCCCCGTCCTGCTCTCCCACGCCTTCACAAACGCCTCCACCGCGCCACCCCTCACCCCCCCATCTCTCCTCTCCTCCTCCTCGCCAGCAGAGTAGTACGCCTCATCCACCCTCGCCACCCACTCCTTCTGATTCTGCATCGACTCTGAGGACAACGGCAAGGCAATCTCGTCGTTAAACTTAACCTGCCCGCCGCCGTTCGTGCACCCGCCAGGACACGCCATGACTTCCACATATGCATACTCCGACCCCACAGCGCCAGCGGCACCAGCGGCAGTCTTAGCCTTACGCGCGGCGATCGCGGCCTGTGCCTTCCCAAATCGGGGGAGTACCCGTGTCTTCGCGGGCTTGAGGCGCCTTACCAGGTTTTGGATATTCCGGAATCCGTAGCAGCGGGCCAGACGCGCAATGACTTCTTCTTCCCCGCCATCGGCGGACGGCGGGCGGAACACGACATAGTCGACGGTATCGACGTTGCGGCCCTTCTCAACGCGGAGCTGTGCGCCGGGGGTCTGCTCGATGAGGCGGGCGGCGATGTGGGTGAGGTAGCCGCCGCTGGTGCCGGCGGTGTGGTCGGTAAGCGGGATGCGGCCGGGGCGGGAGAGGAGGCTGAGGACGGCATCGGTGGGTGGCTGTGTCAGTGGTTTCCGGGGGAGCGTCGAGAAGTCGAGGTTTAGGGACTGAGCGAGCGAGATGAGCTCGCGGGTTGTGATGACGCAGTCGACGTCGCGGACTGGGGCTTCGTCGGTGGTGGGGCCCCAGGCGGCGGAGGTGAGCTCGCCGCGGGCGCCTTCGAGCTTCTTGTCGAAGCAGGGCATGATGCCGACGACGTAGACGCCCGAGGGGCCGGAGTCGGGCTGGAGGAGTGTTTTTACGGCGGTTCCAAGGATGGCTTGCGGTGATTTTAGGGTTGAGAGGTGTGGGATGAGTGCTGGCTGCGTTGACTCCAGATAACACACAAATCCAGGACAAGCAGATGTGAGTATCGGCTTCTTTGAGATCCCTTCACCGGCGGGCTGCGATAATGATGCCAGGAGCTCCTCGGCGGCGTAGTGGAGCGCAATCTCCTCAGCGATGTTGGTGTCCAGCACTAGGTCGAAGCCCCGTATCTTTGACTGACCGTTCTCCTCGCCCTCCAGCGTGGCCGTGCGGATGCCTTCGCTGCCGCAGAGGAGCTGCTCAATCATCCATCCCGCTTGCTTTTCCGTGACGCCGTAGGTCACTGCCAGACTCGCTCGTGTCTGTGGGCTCACTAAAGCAACGAACTTCTTGTCTTTGGACGCAGGCGCGGCGAGGTTCGCAAGCACTTCGTTGTGCGATTGGAGGGATACGAGGACAGCTTCGGCGGAGGTGACGCATCCAGAGCAGGCGAGGCAGTCGGTCAGCGAGATCTGTGCGGGGGTGAAAGTCTGGGGCGCTTTGTCTTCCAGAATGACTTCATAGGGGTTCTGTCAGTGTATGTTAGCTTTGGTGGAGCGCAATTAGTAGATCGGGGGAGAAGGTACATCTTTCGGGGGTGCTGCGGGGAGTGTTTCAACGGGCTTGATGCATGCGACTCCGGGGGAGATGAAGTCGTTCAGATCATCGGCGCTCAGGATAGCACTCATGGCTTGTTTCTTTCTTTGTTTCTCTACTTTACAGAGGGGGTTGTGAGGATTATGGAGGGAAGTGGTGGTTTTCAATACTAAATGTTTCTCTCCTGCAGGAGTTACAAATCCGCGGAAACCGGGAGAGAGCTGTGGCAAAACAATCGTGAGAAAAGGTGTGTGCGTCTTGTCTTATCTAATCTAATCGATAAGAGGTGGGGTTGACAGAATTTAATATTTGTCATCACAGGCATGTCACAGGGATATGACTTTTGATATTGGAAACAATGATATCAGTGGGGGCAATTGTTTGATATGTCTAGGTATTTATAAGTAGATACGTACGGGTAGAGATCGTAGTCTTCAGTGGTCTCGTGAAACATCTGTGCACGCACTGTAGGTATGGGGGTTTCGATTGAAGTATCGCGGTAGTAGATATCGATCGAACGATCTTTACCTCATGTTTGTAATTACATGTTTGTACTCATCAAGACTCCAATTCTGTCCAGACTTTCAGATGCTATTTTCAACCATTCGGACAGAAAAAGATCCTGTGTATTCTGAGTTTGACGTGGTTAAATAAGTTTTGGGAAGCACATGTATCAATTACTGATGTTCCGCCCTAGAGCGAGCGAGCAGTGCGGTAAAGTCGAATGGAAACCCTCAAAAATTCAACACCTTATATCCACTATCGCAGAGATGTAAATTCGCCCTGCAGCTGATTGCCCGTAGTCGCGCTCATTTGCCGAGCCCAACCCAGTCGCGGTTCCGCCGCACACCACCGCACAGCCAAGCCAACCCCTTGCAGGAAAAAATTCTCCCGACCTACGCAGAGTAGGGCAAGACCCGCAAAAAAATTTGGCCGCCCTCTGTCTTGGCAAGATGGCATAAAACCGACGAGCCCCCCGCCCCCCTCTTCTCTCACTATGCGATTTTACTTCATAGGATCATTTCTATAGTAAATCGCCTCTTCTGAACTCTTTACCAGAGCCACAGAATCTCCAACCTGGGGGATGAGGTTAATCCTCCCCATCCAAGAGTGATGCCTCTTTGCCTCTGCTTCGGCGGTGGTGGCTATGATCTCGACCCTTGTCTCTGTCTGTCTCCTTTTGGAGGCTGGAGATGGGGGTGGATGGGGATGGAAGTCTGACAGGTCCTGAAAACTATATTTTTTATATAGTTTTCTTTTTTATATAGTTTTTATATAGTTTTCTTTTTTATATAGTTTAAATCAATAAAAAAAAATTTAAAAAAAAAAAGTTCTTCAGTTTTCTCGTGCGCCCACTATTTTCTTTTCTTCTTAATATGACTAATTGTTTCGTTTTTTTTTTCGTAGAAAACTCCATCAAAGTGACAACAGTAATAAAACTCGTAGACCCAACGATCGTAATCATTCGTAAACTGTTAAGTGCCATGCGATTCTAGCTGTAGAAGTCTCAACGATGGATCGCCACCGTGGAGCTCTTGCCCAGTCTAATACAGTCGCACCTCGCTATGTCGTTAGCGCGTTCGAGGAGCTCAGTCCGTACGAGATAGCAAATATACGAGACAGCAAATAATAATTCCCAAGCTGACAGGGGTATGGAATCAAAAAATCTTCATTTTTGGGTGGAATTTCATGCTGAATCTATCTAAATAACTGGAATTCGAACAGGTACCAAATTAGAGATAGATACAAGTATCAGTTGTTAAAATATCCTGAAATTCATATAAAGGTTATTGAGAGGTTTAACTCCTATAAATGAGAGATGGAGCGATCCTCTGAGCCTACTCTGAGCCCATGTACAGAGCAGTGCAGAATCCTCCTTAAGCTCACTTCTCTATTAGAATAGCTGCTCCCTCAACCCCCACTATAACTACTTCCAAGACCTAAAAATCCGAGATAGCAAATACTATTTGTATGGAGACAGGGGATATCTGTTCTCAATTTTCCGTACGATCCGAAAAGTGCCAAAATACGAGATAGCAAATAGGTTTTGGTGTGGAAAACAAGTAGCAGGCCAATTCGTACGAGACAGCAAGAGATCCGGGACATCGAGATACGACATAGCGAGGTGCGACTGTAGTTGAGACTACGTGACCTTTTAAAAGTCGCGTGGTTGTTTTTAGGCACCATCTATTTCGCGGGATTAGGGTTCCTAAAAGAGTGTTCTGCTCGGGGCACATGGGGCATTCCCCAAAATGGGAGGGGACGTCGAGGGAATCGAAGCCTGGTAGGCGTAAGACTACATAACTTTGCCTCGAGCTCTGCATGCAAGACCAACCGTCTAAAAACGAAACACAACATTACGAGGTCAGTGTATCTTCGATAAAATTGAGCTTCCCAATTTAAAACGCTGGGTTCGGCTATATTTATACGCTTCGAATTGATAGCTTAGACCAGATCTCGAGGCCTTCAACAACCCTAGTAAGAAACGACACCGAGTCTAATTCAGATCTTTTATCGCGCCATCATCATAAAGGTGCAGAAGACACCAATGCAATCTCCTACCAGTCGAAAGGACCTATTCGTTGAAATGGGTAATAAGAATAAGTAGACAAGGGCGCAAAATTCAAAGGCCGGCTGAGGTGTAACGGGAAGGAGAGTTGGCCATAAATGAAGTCGAAGAAGCATCGGTCGATTCCGCTCTATCGTAGCATAAACTCTCAGGCCGTTATATAGCTGCCCTTTTCTCGAGCCAGCGGTATTATCAAAGTATCTGCCCCACAATCATACCTTCGCACGGGTCCCAGTCGATATCGCACAATCATTATCTAGAGTTTTATCGAGATCTACCATCTATAGATCATGGAAGGCCATGGTAACTTCTGGACTGGCGTTCACAAGTTATATGTATCTAATACATCCGAGAAACCTGATTCCATGAGAAAGAGGGAGTAGTGATATCGGTAAGATTTTATGAAATTGAGCATATGTACTCATTCTTGATCATAGATCAGTAGGACTTGGACTACCTCGAAGTATAGACTAGATATATAACTACGCCTCGGTACCAATTGCAAAGACTGCATGTAGTAAATCATCTAACTAAGCGTAAGAATCATAAAGTCCCCGGGTTTTTATCGCGGCTTCTGCGTACGAAAATCAACACAGACCGGGCAAAAGACTCCTATAACCCGGAACCCTTCTTAGCATACAAATTAGTCTACCTTACATTATCTCACGTGTTTTGAATTTTAAGTCTCCTTCTACAGAATGGTCGGACGCCGGACGGTACGGTTCCAGAACTCTCGGGCTAGGGGACACACCGAAAGATACAAACCTCAAAGTTGGGCCGTATTAGAGCGCGGCTGGAAACCAAACTCTAACTTAGTTCTAAACTTTCCCACGCAAGATTGGTACAAAACTATTCTACACTCTACTCCGAAGGTCAGGTTTGGGAATTAATGAATTAAACAAACAAAAAAAAAGGTCAGGTTTGGGTTTGGGATTATGATTTCGTTAACCGAGTGATAACATATGATTTCACTCGACTTTTGTTATTCCTCAAAGCTGCGGTAGCTATTTCTAGCAGGCCTTACTATTTTTGTTACTAATTTCGATCTCACCCGACCCTAACTTTAAATTGCACACATAGACTGGCAATATTGACAGGTCAGGAATCATGCTACAGCCACTCAGCAAAAGTGTTCGTGATTTAGTTTTAATGTCAGTGCGCAGTGTGGCGCACCCGTGACGTTGATGCTATTAATGGAGAGATTCAAAACAACGAAAAATATATAATATAGTTTGTGACTATATATAAGAGAAGATAGGTCATTGATCTTATTTTTCATTGATTCCGGGCTCCATTGCTCACTGGGAACGTTTTCTCTTGGGGCTCTTAATGGTCCGCCACGGTTACATATAGAGAAATGTCTCACTCCGAAATCGGAATCACGAACACTTTTGCAGAGTGGCTGTATGTAGGGCCGAAAGTCGTACTATCATTTAAAGAATAATTACAAGAGGCACAAGTCAAAGGAACCAAGAAAATAACGGCATCAAGACTAGTACCTAGTACTGTACATAGTTTCTAGAGAGAGCTATAGATAAATTCTCTATTTGAAGAGTAGAAATCGTGCTTTAATTCAACAAAAGTAAAATAAGTAACGAGATCAGCTTATCTTTTTATTTCGTTAAAATAAGGTCATATATGAAGCCTATCATATACATGTAGAGTAGATAAAGCTTAATTGGCTGAGCATTGGTGGGTGCTCTCGTTAATACTTCATCAGGTATCACTCGGCACTAAAGACCACCATCACGTGATATACTTTACGCCAAGACCAGATAGTAAATGTGTCCGCAAAGCTGAGCAAGCTTGAGATCCAATAATAAGCATAACAGCTGAGGTTCCCGTATCTCCCACATATCTCCGGCAGCCAGTCACCCGAGAGCTCAATAAAACACACGATGCTGATCTGCCCTATCATACATGTAGCTAGAGTTACATTGTCAGATTAGAGCAGACGAGTAGAACGAAGAACCAAGAACCAATCGTGAAGTCAGAAGCCCTAAAGCCTTCTACCTGTAAACACTGTTGGCTCAATCATCGGTTTTACATCCCCCACTTGTTTTCATATTCCCAACCTCTTCATGAGTGTACCCGCGATGAGCCCACGCCTACGCGTACACGGTACGGGGGACGTGTAGAGTAGAGTACCTACTGCAGGTGCATGCATAGAATGAAGGACAGGCAGCCACTCAAATCATGGATTCTAAGCTCGTTGCACCCTGCTATTTACATTGATGCTAAGCCGAATGGGTATGGCGGGGTAGCGCCATGCCTCACACGGTTCGCCAGTCCAACGCATCCCTTCACAGTTCCTGGAGTATATAAACTTAGTAAACCCACCGGTCTCCTGAATCAGTCCAATTCCAACAACTACCTTGGCCAGAACAATCCCCTAACAGAACTCAATCCATCAATCCATCAACCCCCAATTACATTACATACCAGCAACAAACACAATGGCAACTTATTTTGACGGAAAGCCATCATTCAAAGACGTCCCGGTCAAGGATGGTCAGATCTCCACAACTGAGTTCTTGTCGGCTTGCGAGTCCGTGGTAAAGCTCTTTGGTATGTAAACAAAATGAACTGCTCCAGTTCCGTTGTTCATCTCAGCAGCTTACTCTGTATGGTTTTTAAGATCTGTTCGAGGCTACAGCCTTCTCTGTTGTTCAGAGCGACATGACCGGAAACATCAAGGTGTGTAATGAGTTATAACCCCACAGGAGCTTAAAAGCCATGTATTGACATTAGCCAATTAGAAAATCCGCGACCGTCAGCTCGCGGCCCCCGCGCAGTCAGAAACTCTACAGGATCTCGTCAAGAACGAGACGGCAGAGAAACAGAAAACAGCTACTGAGGGTCTCCTCTGGCTCACTCGGTGAGTTTATCCATTTCCAATCATCAATTTATCTTTTTGTTGGGAAAACGTACTAATAAACTTACAGTGGTCTCTCATTCACCTCAACTGGGCTTCGTAAGAGTGTCTCAAACCCCACGGAAGAGCTGTCCACTTCGTTCACCAACGCATACGGCGTAACTCTCAAGCAGCATCACAGTTTTATGGTGAGGCCTATCTTTGGTCTTGCCATGAAGGCTTGCCCCGCACGCAATTCATTCTATGCGAAACTAGGAGAGAACTGCGATGCCCAGCTCGAGGAATGGCTTACAAGCCTCGAGTTGTGTGTTAATATTCTTTCCAAGTGGATTGAAGGCGTGAAGATTTAGATCCAGTTAATCAGAAATTCGGCGACTTTTTCATAAGCTATTTTTACATAAATATTATACAATTTTAACAAAGAGTCGAGCTTCGCGACTGCGATATATCATATTTTGCAAAAGTCCTTCTGTTTAGTGGTGCCTTTGACTTCTTACAATGGCTTATCCAAGGTAAAGGAGGTGACCATGATTATCATAGTGAGCAAACAAGTTTGGTAAAGAATCAGATTTGGGTACTACATGTATCTCTCCTCATCTGTCAATTGCGTACAAAGAGCAAAGAAATGCTGGATTGAATTTTTGACCAGAAACAGAAAATAAGTATGGAAGAAACCTCAAAACTAGTAGGATCTTCCAAAAAGTGTGTAATGCTATTCAAATAGTCAATATAGGCCAAGAACAAATTATAGAGATATAATTCAATAGGTACCTTTGCATTCTCACCACATTGGGTGCACTTTGTGGTTCCCAGGACAATGGCGTGTTCACCGGTTGGTTGCTCAAATGGAATACACAAAGACTTGGCACCCATGGATGGGGCCTTTGCGTCCTCTGGCTCTCCGCCCTCATTAGTGCCCTTGCTGCGTTCTTTGATCTCATCCTCACACTCCTCACGGTCACCTAAGTTCCGGTAAAAAAGGATTGTAAGTAATGAGCTTTATTTGGTATGCATAAAGATGAGATAAGCTTACAGTGGGGAATAAGGATGACATTCTTGGCATTCAATGCCGGGGTGAATTCCTCCCACTTGGTAATAATCTTGGTGTGCTCATCGAATGATTTCTTCGCCTTGTTGTATAGATCTGATTGAATAGTGTCAAGGAGAGTTTGAACTGTAGATGCGAGTCCATCAAGAGGAATGGGTGTCTTCTCGCCATTGTCACGACGGACGGAGAGGACCTGCTTCTTCACAATATCCTTGGGACCATACTCAATTCTCAATGGAACACCCTTAAGCTCCCAGTCATTGAACTTGTATCCGGGAGAGTAGGTCTCACGAGTGTCAGCCTTGACACGGACGCCAGCCTTTTGCAGAGTGGCTGCGATCTCAGAGACGCCCTCCAAGAGGGTCTTTCTCTCTTCATCAGTAGTTCTTGCGGTGAGACCACAGGGGACGATGACGACCTGGTGAGCGGCCACCTTAGGGGGGAGGACAAGACCCTTGTTGTCACCATGAATCATAACGCAGACACCAATGACACGGGTCGACAGACCCCAGGAGTTTTGCCACACATACACCTTCTTGTCTTCCTCCGGGTCTCCCTCTTTCCAGTCCGGGTTCTCGACAATGATGTTAAACATCTTTGAGAAGTTCTGACCCAAGCAATGGGATGTTGCTCCCTGGATACCACGGCCGGTTGTTGGGATATAACCCTCTACAGTGGTAGTGAAGAGACCACCAGCAAACTTCTCTTTTTCTGTCTTTTTACCCTTGATAGTCGGAACAGCGAGGAGCTCAGAGTAGACACCAGAGTACCAGTCAAGGATCTGCATCACCTCCTCCTCGGCCATCTTGCGAGTCATGTGTGCGGTATGGCCTTCCTGCCAGAGGAACTCACGTGTGCGGAGGAAAGGTTGGGGGTGCTTGAATTCCCAGCGGACAACTGAGTTCCACTGGTTCAATTTCAAGGGGAGATCACGATGACTACGAATCCATTTGGCGTAGTAGGGGTACATAACTGTCTCTGAGGTAGGGCGGATAGCGATATGCTCCTCGAGATCGGTGCTACCGCTGTAGATATGTAGATATAAAATCAGCGCTCCATTGTGAGTTATTTATTGGAATATGTATTAAAACATACGCCTTAGTGACCCAAGCTACTTCAGGAGCGAATCCTTCGATATGATCCTTCTCGCGCTCGAGGACCTTCGCGGAAACAAACATGGGAAAGTAGCAGTTTTCGACTCCAATGGTCTTAATGTTATCATCAAACCAGCGCTGGACCTTCTCCCAGATCGCATAGGACCACGGCTATCCAGAGTGTCCAGTTAGCTCAATCCATCATGAAGTCAATCGAGGGCCAAACCTTCAAAATGTAGCATCCAGAGATATCATAGTAGTCCAGCATATCACCTTTGGTAAGAACCTGCTGGTACCAGTTCGAGAAATCGGCTTCTTTCCTTGTAGTAATACCAATAAGCTCCGCGCCATGGATTTCGGAATCCTTCTTTGTTGAAACCTTTACTGGAGGAGCCTTAGCAACCTCCTTTGAAGCGGCCTGGACGCTGGCCAGTCCGAAATCTACAACGGTGACCTTAACACCAGTTCCCTCCAAATAAGTCTTGATCTCCGTCCCTGAAATAAACACGGTTACATCTGACTTTGAGGGATGAACTGCGATCTTAGGAGTAGACTCGACCAGACGGCTGTCGAGCACCACCTGAACAGCAGTAGCGTTTGCCTTGGTGATGGAAAGAGGAGAAACTGTATTTAAAGCTATCAATATTCGTTCAATTGTTTGTGAAGAAATGATTGGATGCTTACCATTAGCCGGTTCTACTCCCAACACAGTCTGGACCGCATCTGCGGCAGCCATGCGAGGCTCTTTGACATTGACCGCCTTTGCGATGAGGCTGGATGGGGTGTTTGTATCCTCTAGGGCGACAAGGACGATAAGGATGGCAGTCTGCGATTTTGGGGTTTCTAAAAGTCTCCATTATAAGAAATTTGTTCATGACATTCATGCGCGCATTTAAAAACACTAATTACAGCTTCTCTCTCACTCGCGCACTTTTTTCCTTGTAAAAGCATAGTTTTATTCTAGAAAAAGGTGTAGTTTTGGGGACGGAATATTCATACTTGGCTTAAAAACAAGAGTTTTGGTCAAAGAGAATGACTCAGGAAGACCTGAGGCTGATTCGAGCTGTGATTTCCACTCGGCCGCATTCGAGCAAGGCCCGTGGGAAACAGTTTGTGCGTCGGCGATAGACATGGCGGATAATTTTTCTGCTGCTTCAGAGGCCATGAACCGTTCAGAGTACTAGGGGTAGATGTCGCGCGTGGTGTCTCTTGAAATAACAGGCAGCAAATGATTTCTGGTATTTTGGCGGGGTTGGGAGGGGTTGTTTATCAAGGGTTGCACAGTGGGGCAGATACGCTAGAGTAGGTACGGTCACGTGAAGCAGATCCCTACGGGAGGTAAGGGATATATGTTTCCCAAGAAGGTGTTAAGCTTTAATAAACCCAGTCAAACCCCTTTGGGCCATTAATTAGGATGCTCTTAATATGTGAGGTTAAGTCAACAGATGATATCTCGTCCGCTATGCACAACTTTTCTTGACTAAACAAATCTATGTGAAAAAATACTAATGTCCCCTCAAAGTCCAAAAACTGGTGCAGCTATATTATCCCAATTCTCGTCCCATCGATCATGGGTCTCCTTCATAGCCCCCATTTTCAACCGTTCCAACTCCCTTGAGCTCGGATTAAACAAAGTCTATTAGGGAATGTATTAGTCAACAACGCCTGCAAATTGTAAGATATGAATCCAATGAATAAACTATACCTTCAGATTTTCACCCAGATCTTGACCATCCTTGAATACAATTCCATTCTCGCGATGCTTTACCAACTCCCTCAAAGCATAAAACCCGAACGCAGCAACCGGAACGCCCACGCCAAATAGGTCCACAATTTTCATTGGCAAATCTACACCAGAAGTACTAGTATGCAAACTTATTCCCAAGTCGGCACAGGCAATCATCTTCGGGTAATCCTCCGATTCCAGCCATACAGTCTCTACGGTGATAAATTGAAATTCAAGCTTCTCAATCGTAGCCATATACCCATCCTTCAGGGGTCCTTTGCCAGTGATAACTGCAAGAATTGAAGGAGCTGAGCCAGGCTTGAGAAAGTTTGCTCCACTCGCATAACTGTCATATGAAAGAAGAGCTGCGAGCAGCTGAGAGAAATCTTCGTCTGGCGTCCAGGATGTGGAAGAAGTTATCATCTTGGTTTTCCCTGAAAGTATAGCAGCTGCATGGCGTTTAGTTGCGGGGTGCGATTCAAGAAATTCCTTCTTAGCAGCAGCGTCTAGCGGGACAAAATGCATTGGCGGTCGGTCATACAAAGTTCTGATGGGAGCTTTGATTCCCATATCATCCTTTAAAACTTTTGCCATAGCATTTGTAACCGTAAAATTTGCGTATGCGGCCCTCCCAAAGACTTTCTCGTAAAATTTGCAGAACCACACAATAGGATGCTCGTTGAGCTTCATCATCAAAATACTCCATCCAAAATTGTGCCAATCAATAACAACCTTCTGCATTCTCAGCTTGCTAACGAACTGGGTGACAATGAGAGTAGGTATGGCCGGTGGGTTTTGTAGAAGAATATAGCCTGCTGATGGCGGGATAACATAGAGAAGGCAGTAAAGCAATGAGGTGAACTGGAAGAATGCCTTGAAAGGTGCAAAAATGACGAATGTAAGCGGTGTAGAAGTGTTGAATAACTTTGGAGGCACCGGAAGAGGGTATCTGTGTATATTAGTATTTCCGAGTAGCTCAGGACGAGGAAGTGATTCTAATTGAATATTAGCTCGTAGTTCAGAAGCGTATAGTTGGGCTAAAATAGACCTTCATATCCCACAAGATCCACTATAGCTCCTTTCTTTGCCAACGACAAGCAATGATGCTGCATCCTTGGACTCCGGCCAATATCCCCTAACACCAACACGACAACCCGCTTCTTCTCATTGTTTGATGGATGATGCCTTGTAGGTAAACACATCAACATGAAGGTAAATGCCATCGAGAAGAACAAGAGCGGAGTCGCCCAAACTTCAACGAATGTGGTAAACATCTTAAGCTTGGATGTTGCGAACTCTGTCGCAGTACTGTAGACTCGACGAGAAGATGTCAAGCGGATAAGGTTGCTTTATATAATACTGGTGTCAAGGTACTTCGTCACAGGAGTCTGATCGACCTCCTTTTCTAAATCAAGAAGCTGAACCGGGTAGTTGAGGGCTATGAATCAATTCCAGGGGTTCACAAAGATCTTCTCCGGGACTCCCGCTGGAATGATACTGGAAGGAGGACAGGTTGCGGATGACAGGGCTGAGCAATTAGGGCTTCACTCCTAACACGAATTTGAGCCTCATTCTTGGCGTATACTAGCGTAGTTTCGCACAGTGAAATCTTGGCAAGAAAGAAAAAATGAATTTCGAGGTTGCTATTCTCTCCAGCACCTTCAACAGACAGAACCCCGCGTACCATTCCCTTCAGCTTCTTTTCTGCCTTTGCCCGCAATGGCGATTCAAAAGAAGGTGAGCTACCTCCCCTTATATACCCGAATGTGTTTTAATTGAGTCGTTTTTTAGCATGGAAAAGGCCGTCTTGATAAATGGTACGCAGAAAAAAAATGATCCCACATCCGACACCTTGAAAATTTCCAGAAACTAAAATCTTTATAGGTACAAGCTCGCCAAACAAAAAGGCTACCGTGCTCGTGCCGCGTTCAAATTGATCCAACTTAACAAGAAATACAATTTCCTCGAAAAGAGCAAAGTCGTCCTCGATCTCTGTGCTGCCCCAGGTTCCTGGTCCCAGGTTGCTGCGGAATGCATGCCCGTAAACTCCCTTATTGTCGCCGTTGATCTCGCGCCAATCAAGCCTATCCCTAAAGTTATTTCCTTTCAAAGCGATATCACCACAGAAAAATGCAGGGCCACAATCCGAGGACATTTGAAGTCATGGAAAGCGGATACCGTCATGCATGATGGTGCTCCAAACGTTGGTACTGCGTGGGTTCAGGATGCTTTCACACAGGCAGAGCTTGTGCTCCAGTCTCTCAAGCTCGCCACGGAGTTTCTGATAGAAGGAGGAACTTTCGTTACCAAGGTTTTCCGCTCTCGTGATTTTAACAACCTTATGTGGGTGTTCAATCAGCTGTTCACCAAAGTTGAAGCCACCAAGCCCCCATCGTCACGTGCCGTATCTGCGGAAATCTTCGTAGTTTGCAGAGGTTATAAAGCTCCTAAAAGAGTAGACCCCAAATTCCTTGACCCCCGGAGCGTATTCGAGGAATTGCCGGACGCTACCCCGAATAATGAGGCTAAGGTCTTCAATCCGGAGGTCAAAAAGAGAAAAAGGGATGGTTACGAGGAGGGCGATTACCTGCAATTCAAGGAAGTTCCTGTCAATGAGTTCATTGAGACTACGGATCCAATTCAAATGCTAGGAAGCTTAAACAGGCTGTCCTTCGAGGAAAAAAAGGGTGGAGATCTAGCCATTGCGGCGATTTCCAAGCTACCAGAAACAACCGTAGAGATCCGAAACTGCTGTCAGGATCTTAGGGTCTTAGGCCGAAAAGAATTCAAACATTTGCTCAAATGGCGACTTTCCGTCAGGGAAAAGGTAAAATTCCCTACACTCAGGCTTCGCTACGGGACTGACGTGTAATAGTTTGGATTGGTAGTCAAGAAAAAGGATGACAAGGTCGTTGAAGCCGCCGAAATCACCCCTATGGACGAAGAGCTACAAATCGAACAAGATCTCGAGCTTCTCAAACAGAAAGAATCCGCCGAAAAGAAACGTGCAAGGCGAAGAGAAAATGAGAAAAAACAAAAAGAGATCGTACGGTTACAGCTTCACATGACAACCCCGATGGAAATCGGACAAGAGCAACAATGGGACTCCATGTTTGGTCTTAAACCTGTCGACAAAGCCGGTGCCCTAGGGGAGGTAGTGAAGGGCAAAATGAACGTGGTTGTTGAAGAGGATGACAAGAAAAGAAAAGATTTAGATATGGGTGATTCGGAGGTCGATGACACAGAGGATGAAGAGGCAGACAGGATGGAGGCCGAATTAGATGGCTTGTAAGGCATCGTATCGAACTTTTCATTATCTTTACTAATCAAATCTTGCAATGACAGGTACGAGCAATATCGGGAAAGAAAAGCTGAAACCGACGCAAAGTATAAAGCCAAAAAGGCGAGAAAAGAGCATGAGGACGGCGAATGGCATGGTATAGAGGAGAAGGAAGAAAGCAGTGACGACGAGGTCTTGGTTGACGAAGCGGAGAGCAGCGATGAAAGCGACAGTGAGGATGAAGATGGTGAAATGAAAGACAAACTGATGACAACCTTAGACGACAGTCACGTTAAGGGCAAAGATGGCTTAAGCAAAAGAGCTGCCATGTTCTTTGATCAGGAAATATTTGCAGACATTGACGACGAAGCCGAAAGTGAAGACGGATCAGATCTCGAGGAAGATGAAGGGGATGATGAGGGCTCAGATGAAGAAATGAGAGATGCAGATACAGCAGTCGACGCGAGTGACGAGGAAATGGCTGATGAAGCTGAAGAGGAGCTCGCAGGGTCGGAGGATGGTTTCGAAACCGAGGAAGAATGGGAAGATGACGGTATTGAGATTGTCAAGGGAAGCAAAGATGAACATTGGGATTCAACTCAAGAACCTACAAAGAACGGCAAGCTTGGTGAGTTTCAATATATCTCATTCTGCGTAGGTTGTACTAATACGCCATTTAGACATCAACATCATCACCGCTGAAGCCATGTCTCTTGCACAACGAATTGCTTCAGGGAAAAAGGCCAAAATTGATATTATAGATGACAATTTCAATAAGTTTTCCTTCCGGGATAAGGATGGCCTTCCTGACTGGTTCCTTGACGACGAAAACAATCATTCGAAGCCTATACGTCCTATTACCGCCGAGGGTGCAGCAGCGATCAAGGAAAAGATGCGAGCTTTAAATGCTCGACCGATCAAGAAGGTTCAAGAAGCTAAGGATCGCAAGAAGTTCAAGGCTCATCAAAGGATGGAGAAGCTGCGTAAGAAGAGTGCATTGATGGCGGACGAGGATGGTGTTACGGAGAAAGACAAAGCACAAAGCATCACAAAGCTTATGCAAAAGGCAGCGAAGAAGAAACCAAAGAAAAAGGTCACAGTTGTTGTTGCCAAAGGTGGTAATAAGGGCCATGGAAGGCCGAAGGGTGTCAAGGGTAAATATAAGGTTGTCGATGCCAGGTTGAAAAAGGATGTGAGAGCACAAAAGAGAACCGCAAAGAAGAATAAGGGCAAGAAATAATGATAAACACTTATGGACAGGCGGCGATAATGTGTATATGTACTTTTTTCGAAAGCAATAATTTCTTGGGTCGTTATTTACAAACTCTTCAAAAATATCCGTGATTTGAACTTGGCCAGTTTTTTTTTTTTTTTTTTTTGGGAGGGGGAGGGTTATCCTGTCCCAATAGTAGCACTCTCCGCAAGAGAGGTTAATATTCATAGGAGTATATAGGACATGTAGTTGTGTTGACATGTAATTGTATCGACAAGCAACTGTATTCTTAGATTCTTAGAGTTATCTGGTGGTTTCTGCGGGCTGGATGTTTATCTCTTCTTTCTAATATCTATCTAATATCTATAATATATCTAATATGTACTGTAATAGCTCCATTTGCGAAACCTTTTGCGCTTACCCGGCTTGCTCCTCCCTACTTGCATGGCAACCGCCCACCCGGCCACCAAAATCTGGAGGGGCGAGGTGGTAGAACCCCTAGTATCTATATACTACAAAAGCCCATGAGTGAAACCTTTTGTTGAATTCCAACCTCTAAACCTAACAGAACATAAGTGTTCGTCACTATACTTAGGGTGGAAGTCACTGGATATTCCGGTATACAAAGAGTTATGAGTATAAGGACTCCAGTTTTATTGTATTATTCAGTAGCGATATTTCGCATACCCGCAGATTTGTACATACATGTAGGTAGTTACACCTTTGTGGATGGTATAGTCACCCCTAGCCCTGATGTCATTCATTATCAGATCGATCTAATCATTGAGCCTCAAACTCAACGCTAACAAAAAATAAATCTGCTTGAAATTCTCATGATCCCCAACCACTAGTACAAATTTCAGTGCCATTGGAACACAAGGCTTCAAGGTGAGCTGTTCCGTGTTCTGCCATTCGTCTAATTGAATAACACCATCATATCAGCGCATTTATAATACTTCAGCTATGGCACCCAATAAACGTCAGCGCACCTCCATTGTGGCAGCTGGTGGGGGAGTTGTCGCTGCAAATACTCGCGCCGCTCCACCCCAAGTGCCATTACACTCAAAGATTTTGGCCCCTTTCAGAGTATGATGACCCCGATTTTAGCTTTGTATTTTTATCGACTTAAAATTACTCAATCTCACCTATTCTAGGCTCTCGGTCACATAACTTCGACATCTGCGCCAGCGACTCCATTTACTCTTCTTCCATTAGGCAAGACTTTTCAAATCACAACTGCGCTTTCAAACACCCTACAAACCTACGATATCCGACGTCTAAATCTCTTGTTCGTATCTTCTCCTGCTACTCCTGGTCTCATCCGCCGAGTCGTCGCCCATAAGGACCTCGTATACGCCGCCTTCGACGATGAGTTGATCCGCGTTTGGATTTTCAAGAGAGGAAAGAAGATCGCTGAACTTGAGCCGGTCAGAACATTACAAAGTGGAGGTAAACGGGATGGGAGATGGCGAGAGCTGCTGATATTTGGAGACTGGGTTGTTGGCGCTTTCGATTGGGGATTAGTGGTATGGAGGAGGACAACTGGAGAGGTTTATACTGAGATTGAGGTTGTGGGCGAGGTCACGGCTCTTGTGCATCCAAGCACTTTCTTGAACAAGGTTGTTGTTGGGAAAGCGAATGGATCTCTAGAAATTTGGAACGTGAAAACGAGGTATGGCTAGAGCACTCATTTGACTCTTTTCTAGTCTCAGGTACTAAATTATCATCTACAGCAAAAAGATCCACACTATACTTTCGCCCCTCCCTGCGCCAATAACTTC